CTCATTGAACGCTATACTCGAATCCTAAGCTAGTCTCGTAAACCCCAAACTAGAACTACACAGCAACTTGAACACGAGAGAAAAGGCACAAAATATACGAGAAGCACTTTACTCCAAAAGTTCATTTGTGTACAGAAAATATAGAATTTTTATAGTATTTTAGAAGTCCTTGAGTTTTCCCGAAAATTCTAGAATACTACTAAACATAGTAACAGTGTAGTAATCCGCCAATCAGAACCTCTACACGTGATTTTTGATTTTCGCGATATTTCTAGCAAAACTTCTAACCAAACGCTGATTAGATAAAATGTTTCTTAATGTTTCCTGAGATTGTCATGTCTATTGCGAGGAATTTTCAGAATCGCACCAACATTATAGACAAAAATGTTTAGATCACTTGACCGAAGCTTTTTTTCTTTTCAAAAATTCTTATGAAATAAAATTTTAAAAAATAGTGACATGATTCTTCATTAAGATTTTGTAGAAAAGTATAAACGGGAGATATTCTTGAATGAAGTGAATTTATTTCATTTCATATACATTAAGTTTCCTACTTTACGTAAACCAATGTTTTTTATCAATGAAATATTTTTGAAAATGTAATTCTGCGTGTAACATGTACAAGGTCAGAATTAAGTTTAGAAATGGATGATAATCAAAATATCTTTCAACAATTATACAGTTTTCTTTCAAAGTTGAAATCATGAGCCAGTTGAAGCTAGATCACCATGGAAAATCTGGAAGCACTGGACGGCCGTTTCGTCCTATTATGGGACTCCTCAGCAGTGCGCATTCACGAAACCCGCACTCGCGAGATTCGAACCCAGGACCTACCAGTCTCGAGGCGAAGCCCTTAACCGATAGACCACTTTGAAAAATACTGAAGTCTCCACAAATCCTCTTCTGATTATAATCATATGCTCACTAGTGACTGACTTCAAGATACATGTCTTGGAGTTCTAGTGGGAAACAGTGACCAGTGGAGTTCAAACACGTCTGTTGTGAGATAACAACTCACTGAAGGCAATTGGTGAATGGTCGCTCATAATTCGTGGATCGGTTGAAGTTAGACATCAACACCGTTGGATGCCAGCTCAGTGGTCTATCGGTTAAGGGCTTCGGCTCAAGACTGGTAGGTCTTGGGTTCGAATCTTGCGAGTGCGGGTTTCGTGAATGCGCACTGCCGAGGAGTCCCATAATAGGACGAAACGGCCGTCCAGTGCTTCCAGGTTTACCGTGGTGGTCTAGCTTCAATTGAATCATGATTTCAACCTTGAAAAATACTGAAATCTCCACAAATCCCCTTCTGATTATACAGTTTTCATCTATAGAAGAATGAAATAAGAGAAACACTTTCTTTCTACATAGTTGCAATCATTAGTTAATTAAAGCTAGACCACCAACGAAAACCTCGACGACCGTTTCGTCCTATTATGGGACTCTTCAGAAGTGCGCACCCACGATCCCGCACTCGCGAGATTCGAGTCCAGGACCTACCAGTCTCGCGCCGGAGTGCTTAACCGATAGACCACTGAGCCAACAAATTAAAGTTGAATATGTTCCTATTGATTAGTAAAAGGTATTAGTTTTATTGTAGGAACTCCTGTTTTGATCGAAATTCATGAGTAAAACATTATTCAGAAACGTAGTTCAAAAAGTTGCTACTGAACAACTGAGACTGATCACTGAGTAGTGTTCAACTTCATATTTATCTAGTCCGTCATTTTTAATGCTAATCGGATTGTATCTATCAATTTGTAATGTGGTACAACTCTGAGTGACCCGACATTGTGTGAATTATTTTTATGTGTTAGGTGGTTGGTAAGAAACTGTACACCAAGGTTTCGTGGTAATCTTGAGGCAATTATTATTCCTTATAAGGTTTGAACCCGGGTCACTCAACTTCACAATCAGAAACGTTACTACTGAGTACAGGGAGTATCATTACCCCCAAAACTACAGGTACGTCTGCAACTTAGTAGAACCTTGTAATGATAATTATCATGTGCTAACTAGTGACTGGATTCGGGATATAACTCCTGCAGTTTTAGTGAGAAACCGTGGCTAGTGGAGTTTAATAGTGTCATATATGACAGTTACCCACCGAAGACAATGGAAGATGGTTGCTCAATATTGTGTGTTGGTTGAAATCAGACATAAATATCGTTGGATCCGGGCTAAGTGATCTAGAGGTTCAGCGTTTGCGAGAGACCGAAGGTCTTGGGTCCGAGTCCCACGTGCAGAATCGTAGATGCTTATTGCTGAAGGGTCCCATACTAGGGTGACAACAATTTTATTGTCAATTAAGAGTAAATATGTACAAGTCAAATAAGTTGATATATACAATAAATGTGAATTTTTTTTCTTCAAAAAATGTTTGCATTTTTGGGAGTACAAAAATAGACCCAAAAATTCATTTAAATCTCGTCTTAATCGATTGATTTCGTGATATTTTGGCACTATATACCTTTAACAACAAAGAAAACTGATTTGTCTTTCCATATAAAGACATAAGTTGATCGATTGTGTCTTGTCAGTTTACTACAATATTTTGATTATTTTCACTAATTAACAAGTGAAATGACGCCAAATATATATATATATATATATATATATATATATATATAGTAGAGATTAGTGATAGATTACTGAATGACAATACACTGTTTTGTATTTGAAGTAAAATAAACTACTGAATAATTACACGGAACTTCCTCTTTATAATTTTTGCATTCAGTGACTTATGCATCACCGTCTGTAAATCTTGGCTATGAAATAAATCAATATGATTAGTTAACATTAAGGGTCGTCTAAATGTAACGATTCACTTTGTTTGTTTGACATTCCAGACTGATTCACGATGTAGCTAAATATGTAGTAAAGATTGGAGTTTGAAATCAATAAAAATCTGACCTTAGCAAACATATAAATTTGTGTTTCAGGCTCCAACCTGTAATGATTGTCTAGCGGTTACTTATACTGCATGGCTTTTCGAATCTCAGAAATATGATTGAAGACGATTCCCTTGAACAAATGAAGAATATTTAGTTACAAGAAATAAGAGGAATTTATATTTGTCAGTGTGAATAGTTGGTAAATGTCTCATTGAGTGTATATAAACAATGAGTTATATCGATTTGACGACGATTCATATTACATTCGGACACTGATGTTTCCAATAACTTTTTCCTTCTTATCCAAATAATATACTTTAATTCAGCACTATTTCTTCATAACTATTACCAATTCACCTGTACAGCTCGTGGTATCCACAACGACTGAAAATAATTTCGTTTAACAGTTTAAATCAGACTACATAAACTTAATTATTCAGTGATTGCAGAATATGGGAGTATTGATGTAAAAACTGGAATGATTAACCAATGAGATTAACTCTCAGATTCTATCTCTCGATTCTCATGTTGATGAAGCTGATGGGGATCAAACATATGGCTTCTCGTGTATGCTAGATCTCATAACATTCTGTACAACTTATCTTTTACACCACATATAATACGTAATTAAGGATATATTTTATTCTCTAAACGTCTTTTTTAGTAGAAGTATAATGCTTCAATCAGTTTATGATCATTAGCGTATAAATGAATTAACACAAATTCAGTCGGTAGTAAGCTTTCTAAATGTTTGAGAGGAACAAAAAGCAAAGTAGACTTTTATGCACTCACACGTTTGAGAAGAAACTTTACTTCTCTTAAGGTAACAGACTTGTCGTAAATGGGTGAATCAATTGAAATAGGAAACTTCGGAGGTTATTCGCTGATGAATTAGCAGCCTGCTAAGACTTTCGGGTTACGATCTTTCAAAATTTGCATTTATTGCCATTGACTGTCCTGCTCTAGATTTATCGTAATTAACTAATTATGTTCGTCAATCACGTATACTTGAACACTCATCAAATATCTACAACCTATTGGAAAACGGGCTACTAAGATACTCAAGAAGTGCTGTGATATGCACTGCTTATACGGACAGATATAAGTAGTATGTAGAGGAATTGGAATGCTTACCAGCAGAAGATTGAAGTGAAGAGGAAGGAAAATAGAAAGCAGTCCGAATAACAACAGGATTGGAAGAACGATGGAGCATGTAAAGGACAACCCAAGGAAGATGTGCAAATGATGTATTTAGTGTATGATTTTCATATTTTATAAAAGCATTGTGTGATGTTGATTAAACAATAAATCGGTTTACCATACCTGAGTCTTCTCTCATCATAGTGCTACCACGACGATTCGCATATTAACCTTCTATTCTTTCCTGTTATTTGGAGAGGTGGTGACATCAGATGAATTTGATAACGTAGAGATTTTGTGGGAGCAATACTGATCGTAAATATGAATGTTGATTAATCATTGTTTGAAGCTGTTTATGCATACTGTTTGAATATTCATGATTCATGTATGCAATCATGCCAGCTTTCAATCATTAAGTCACAGATTCGAATAGTGCCTGCTACATCTAATCCAGGTTGGGTATTTGGTTGCTAAAACCCACCTTTATATCTTAAACTGACCAATCGACACATGAATTGTTTTTTGTCAATAATTGTCTGTCTAAGAAATATTAAAAAGAACAGCATATCAATTTACAAGTTCTGGTGTCGATTCTGTACGTGGTGGCGATGAGTATGACTAATAATAAGAACCTACAAACCAGACTGTTACAATTGTTCTTTAGGACTTAACGGTGTTTCAGAAGAAGCAATTTAGAAGATCCAAATCAATATAGAATTAGACAGAACCTCAATAAAAGGCGTCTCATTTAGAATTATTACTTTAACAAGAAAACAATTCATTTATCATTTAGTCAGTTCATGCACTCAACTTTAAGATATAAAGGTGGGTTTTAGCAACCAAATACCCAACCTGGATTAGATGTAGCAGGCACTATTCGAATCTGTGACTTAATGATTGAAAGCTGGCATGATTTCATACATGAATCACAAAGCAATCTCTTGACCTGTTAAAAAACAAACCAAACCGTAATAGAAAATCATTTTTATTTGTAATGTCAACATCATTTATCTTCAATGTATAATTGATCTGGTATATATCCACAAGAGTAAGGGTAAATAGTGAAAACAACAATATGGTGTGACAACACAAGGTGTGTTACAACAGGGGTGAAAAACAGAAACAGATTTGTTTACATTATATTTGGCGCATATATACTTGTCACACATCAAATGAAATATCTAATAAAAAAGCCACTAATACTAATTTGTGTGTTATAATTCTGATAAGAATAAGCAATGTTTTGTATTTGCCATTAGTGAATAAATTACAAAGAAGAAAAAGAATGGTCCGCAACAGTACATTAAATTAATTTCTTTTAATTAGGTATCTCAAACTGGGACACTGTACTGGCAATAAGCACAAATAATAATGTTACGATTTAATCAAACAAAATTATGTGATCATTTAAAATTTTAGAAAATTAATGTTACGTACATAAATGAAACGCAATTTGGTCCATATGTGTATTTTTTTTATCAAAAGTATTTGTAACAAAAAAAAACAGATCATTGAACTAAAGAAACAAGAAATATGATAGAAAGAGGAAAACAGTGACATAAACAATTACTAATCCCATTAACCATTACCATTATTGACGTTGTCATCGTTATGGCTATCACACCACAGTTAGCAGAAATGGTAGCTAACAATACATAGAAAATGACAAAACCAAGAGAAACTATAGAACAAGAGGATGAAATCACAAGTAACAATAATAATATGAGATCGTTTTTCATCCAATAACTCTTATTTTTGATAAAAAATAAATTATGTTATATGACAAGACCTATTAGATTCAAGCATGTATTAAATTACTAACGTAAATAGAGAAATGAATGTAAGTCGATAGGGAAAGAGAAAAATTGGGAACTTGTTCAAATAAATGAGAGCGAGAAACATAAAGAAAGAAACAGCTTATCAATGCGGATAAATGATGATAAGGATAATGAGGAGAAAGAACATGCATGCGATGTATACACAGGTAAAATAAGCACAAAGAATAGGGTGATCAAGCTGTAGAAGAGAATAGAAAAACAATAAATGAGATAAATACACAAATACATGCAATTGCAACAAAATAGGTAATAACAGAGGTAATGCATATAGTGGACATTTTGTGTAAAATACAATCACACTATATGAAAGTGTTATTAAGTTCTTAAAACAAAGCATGATGAATAAAAACTTAAATAGAAGCAAAAGGAAAACAAGAAAAATTGAGATCACAGCATCACTACAGAAGAAGAATCTATCGCTTTTTTCGATAAAAAGAAAATTGTCGAAACTTTTACTGAAGAAAGAAAAATGTAATAGTAATCTGCTTCCATCACCCTTTATTGTTGTCATTGCTGTTTTAATTGATAATGGAGAAAATAATCAAAACAGCACCCATAAAAAGGAAGTATTTCTTGTGTGTATGAAGGAATGCTAATACATGGACACCAACCTACCATTTTTAAAAATAATGTTGTTCATTTATGACCCTGATAAAATTAAAAATTCAGTAAATTACACTTTGCTATGTAATGTAACTCATCTGGAACTAGATATTTTGAAAATCTTATGAAGTACGCTTTGTATTGAGTAAAGAAAATTAGCAAAAGACAAGAGATGAAGGATAATAGTGATGAAAAATCTATTTACTATTGATTATTAACGAAGCAGGTTTTTCTCCCACTGTTTTTGTTGATAGAAAAAAATATATATTATATACAATAATAACAATTATTATTATCATATGGTTGATTTAATTAATGAACAGATGATGCATTTGAATTAGGGATATCATCACCACTTCCATTAGCAATTAGAAATGGATTACTGATGCCTTGTCCACTTGATGTATTCGATACACCAGCTGTAGCTCTATCCACCCAACCTAAATCGAATGGATCCGAAATACAATCAGGCTCTGGAGGTAGAAGAGTAGGTGGTAATGACGATGGCGATGAAGCTTGCCAATTTGTATTACTAACGTTTCTCCCATAAACCAATCCCATTGATGATGACCATGGATTTGTAGAACCTAAAGAAACAAATGAAATGAGTGTAAGGAGATAAAAGAAAAATATCGAAAGCAATAGGGTAAAATAAACGATTATACAGTAATGGAGATACGTAGACAACAACAACAAGAATTAATAATGATAACAATAACACATGAATTGAAACGGTATTCATCAACTATAATCTAATAATTTTACAACCACCTGATTTTAAAACACCATTGGAAGGATAAGTTAGATTTGTTTGAGAATTCATTGTACCAGTAGGAGAACTGGGTAAATTTGAATTATATTGAATAATAGATTTGTTAAATGGTTGCATCTGTGAATATGTAACTGCCCATGGACTAGAATTATAAGTATTAATCGATAAAGTTGGAGCAGCAATTGGTGGTCCGCCTAAAAATGGTGAAGTCGGTGTAGAACTGATAGTTGAAACAACAGCCATTGGAGCCTAAAAATACAATTATTATTATTATTATTATTATTATTATTATTATTACATGCAAAGAACATAAAATTGTAGTTACAACGATAGATCAATAAACTTTATCTGCAAAATAACTAACACTCATTAAAATGGTACACATATTGAATATTGTAAGTTAACCGTAGTATCCGCTTAACTTCCGGTTTAATTTCGAACAATTCATAAAAATGGCATAGAATTTAATAAGAACATAATTATTTAACTAATTTATGGTCGAATTTTACTATATTTACATACATTGGTAAAATGCATAATAATTATGATAATAATAGTAATGACATAGTTTAACCAAGTACGAATCAATGAAATCACGAGTTTTTATTCAGATTAGTTTGTAGAACCCGTATAGGTAAATACATATAAAAATCCTTTCTGTTTATCCGATGCGTATTGGACTTCACTATTACTGAACAATAGTCTGACATTATTTAAGCGATTCAGAAATATATTGAAGATATATGAGGGGTGAGTTGGTAATTGCCCATGACTTTCTTTACATTCATCAACGAATTACGTAAATAATAAGTTAACCCCTTCAATTTATATTGTCAAATCATCTATTGAACTAGAACGATCTCTCTACAAACGACTGGCATAAAACGTAAAATAAACCCTTTTCCATATTCCTTCATAGTGGTCACAGCTACCAAATTGTGAGTAATTTTCAGTTACATTATCTAAGATAAACAATAAATGTCTTACTATTTTGCAGACTAATACCATATCGAATTTACACAAGCAAATAAACAATGTCTTTATACAGTTTTTCATTGGTCACTTCACTCTGAATATATTTACAAATGAAGTCAAAGAGCAAACATATTCAATATACATTTAAACCGTCTCAGTTAACAAATACTTGAAAACTTACTTCGTTGGAGACTTAAACATAACCAGTATAACACATATTCAGTGGTACAATGGTAAATGTAAGATGCTAAAAAATTATCAACTGTTAAGTAACTACTGACTTTTGACATTTTTTTTATTTTGAAACATAGAAATCACAAAACCATGCATGATAAAAACCAACCGGATTACACAATAAAATTATGATGAATATGTAAAAAATTATATGAATACCGGTACGATATCGAGTGTGAATAAACGTGCTTATGTTTTCTTTATTGATCACCTACTTGAAAAGATTGATGACACAATCCAAATAACAAGTGAACTGATAAATTATTCCGGGTCAAATAACTTCCTGCTGATAGACAACAACATGCTTATTCATGACACGTGAAAAATATCGTTTTACATTTGACATTTATGAAAAAGTATGACAAAGATTACTAAGGTTTCATTATAATGACTCCAACTAACAAGAAAATATCATTTATGTATTCTAAGTCAATCATATCTAATTAAATGAAACTAAAAGTATGAATGAATGCATAGTGAAGAGATAAAACAGTTTTATGTAATAAACCACACTTGCTTTGGAACTTAGTAGTGAAGAACCTGTTATTTGCTGGTGTTGCTGTTGTTGTTGCAATTCCATCTGATAGTGCCGTTGTATTGTAGCTGGGTTGATTGGGGCAGCAGAAAAAGGATCTGAAATAACTGAAGGTATAAATGCCTGTGATGTTTTAGGATCAAGATTGAAATCGCTTGTAAAGTGGCTACTAGGTACAAACGATTGAGTTACTACAGTTAAACCATTCATAATTGGGAGGTTCGAAGATGAACTGGCCACTACTATAGATGAGCTCCAATTAGATGTAGAACATACAGTAACTAATTCACTTTTTTCAGGTCGTTCGTCACTTTTAACAAATACTCCTAGTTTCTTTGATTCAAATTCTGTGTCTGGTTCCTCCGCTATAGGTGCACCTTGAAAATAGATAAAAGAAATAAAATAAAAATGTTAGAAATAGTCTATGTGACATAATTCTTCAATTCGTAAAATACTAAATAAATAGTATATCTCCAACTGAACTGTATAATCTCATTAAGAAAAATACTTGAAAAAACCAGCACAAGTGCGAATTAACGGATAGGTAGTACAACACTACTGATTAGTGTAAGTGTTGAATGGATAGTTCCACCAATCAATGACTTAACCGGTTTAGATATTACGGAAATTAAGCTATTTAAAGTATATGGAAACTAACTAAAACATAGAGTTATGATGAGATAAATAATTAATATAATACTAGAATTAATACTCATCGACCCATTATTTGTTTTAAATAATTTGTCAACCATAGCTTTATCCACTCGATTTTGAGTTACAGTATCCGAGTCTAAGACAAAACATAATTGGAATTATGGCAAGTATTCAATGGATATTATATAATGATGACTAATCAAAATGTTTATAACTCAAGTTCAATGTTGAAGTACTCAGAATGCACCCAAAGTGAAAAGCGGTATGTTAATTTTTGATTGAACACCCCATCAATCAAACTGAACCAAGATAATAAAATCGAAGGTGTTTATAGTTGTCACTGGATCTTACAAAGATACCACATACATTGACGAATCCAATTCCGTGACTAAATACAGATTTGTGCACAGAGTTTTGAGTCATATTTTTTGAGAGATGATGAGTGATACTACTTGATTTCTTAAACCAAAGTAGGCAGAGCTTGGAATCGGAGCCTATCACATTATCACTATCTAACAAGTGTATTGACAACTCTACATCAACGCTGTAAAAATTTATATTAGTATAGTGTTATAACCATTTTTACATATGTAGGACCATATTTGTGATGGTTGTTATGCAGTTTGTTATTTTTAAATTCATGATTAATAAGTCCTCAAATTTTTTTTAGTAAACTGCTTAAAAATTAATCAGATAATTTACTAGCATTAAAATTCGTAAAACAAATGCTTTTTTGAATTTTCTCCATACAGTGATGATAACTTTCGTGGTGAGTTCAACAATCACGCACATAAGTATCCTACAGAGTAGAAAATATTGATACATTCCAACCCTGAATATATTGAAGATATCTTGGCTACAGTAGTACTTCCTCAAAACCAATCCCAATACCTTGGTTTTTCGTGTAGTGACAGAAAATTTTTAACTTACAAATTAATAAATGCGCTTGTGCATGACCGCTAACAACAATTGTAATTGTCTATATACTTCATAGCATTATAACAAATAGATGTACATTAACTAGATATTGAAATATTCAACTTTGTTGAATACTGACCCACAAAAAAGCCTTGTAGTTTTCAAAGTGTAGCGGATTTCATAATTAAAGATTACTGTGGTAACGATAGAAACAATGTTCCCTTTAAAAAAATTCAGATATTCATAAAAAGTTGTCTACCACAAATAAAATAACATATGAAACTTCAAATGACATAATCAAACTGAGTGAAGTTGCGTAACCTATAATATAACTTTACGGTTTATTAAATGTCTTAGAACGCTTTATTTAAATGATACATTTACTATACACAAGTATAATGGCATTAATTACATTTGGAAAGAATTAAGTCCTTTATGAGCTCAAGCTAGAAAAAGGTATTTCAACTGTAATGAATGGAATGTTATGTGTATAATGACATTTATAAAGAACATTAATAAACTATAGTACGAACAATATGATCAATAAGAAAGGTGATATAGATCATTTACACATACTTTGAATTATTCCAGCCAAACGGCGTACATTCGAAGGAACTCCTTCAAGACGTAATGAAAGATCTCTTTTAAAAGGACTATTCTCTTGTAATTTTGGAAATATTCTTAGTGAACCCTAATTAGAAATGGAAAGTAATTTCAACAATTCAACAATTCACTTCTATAAAAATTTAGTTCTCTGAAAAAACCATGACTTACAATACGAAGGAATCTTTAGTTAAATTCTGTTCTAATTCTTCAAAAACATTAAAATTCTTAATTCTGAGTTAATCATTCCCTTGGATTATGGTTGACAGTGGAGCCTAAGACACATGTTTCATCCTAGGTAGGACTTGTCAGTTGAATGTGCCTGCATTCCAGTAATATCTACACTGAAACTTCAACCCAGAAGTTATCGCTTCAAAAGCTATTATGATGTCAGGTAAGCTATCAAGTCCAGATAGTTGTTTAATGAAATAATTAACTTGGAACTTCAAATAATAGCTAGGCATTTTCTCACGTAGAACATAAGTCTACATAGGCTGAAGAAATTTAAGTTCCTAACATCAACAACGATGAAATACAAACCGTTACGAATATCCGTAATAATAATAATGACCGTAATTATACTTATTGACCAAGTTATTTATCTTTATTTCACAGCTTTGTGGATAGTATATCAACGTTTAACACGATAGGTCCTGATGTTGAGTCTGAGTATGAACATCAACACTAGGGATAAACATATACACAGACGACTAATATCTCTCGACGTCTTGGACGATGGGCGGAATTCTTCGAAGGGCAGTTCAACTGGCCTGCTGCTCCGGCAACATCAACCAGCTTGTCCTGCCCCCCCCCATGGCCGGTGACGACTGATCCACCAAACGAGGCGGAAGTCCGCAAGGAACTCCAACTCTTGAAAGGTTACAAATCACCTGGCCCAGATGACTTACCTCCGGCTCTTTTTAAAGATGGTGGTGACCTTCTGACTAAGGAATTGACTGTGTTGTTTGGAAAGGTTTGGGAAGAAGAAAGTGTTCCAACATCATGGAATGAGTCGATAGTTGTCCCTATCTTTAAAAAGGGTTCACGTTGTTCCTGCAATAACTATCGGGGGATAAGTCTACTTTCGATTGCGTCCAACCTATTGGCTTCTATCATTCTTCGTAGGTTGTTCAAAACCCGAGAACGATTGACTCGCGAGGAGCAGGCTGGTTTTCGTTCTGGTCGAGGATGCATTGATCACATCTTCACCCTCCGCCAAATGTTAGAACACCGTCATACTTATCGCAGGCCAACAATCGTAGTGTTTCTTGATATCAGGGTGGCCTTCGATTCGTTGGACAGGACTGTTCTCTGGGATTGTCTATTGAAGAAGGGTGTGCCCGAGAAGTTCATTAACATCTTAAAGGCCCTGTATACGAACACCTCAGACAGAGTGAGGGCATACAACCACCTTTCTCCCTTGTTCCATTCGAGCAGTGGGGTTAGGCAGGGTTGCCCGATCTCAGCATTCCTCTTCAACTTTGCCATCGACGACATCTTGGAAACAGCTCTGATGGATGCAAGTAATGGTGGTGTGGATATGTTGCCTGGAGAACGACTTCTCGACCTTGAGTATGCGGATGATATTGTCTTACTATGCGATAATGCTCAAACCATGCAATCCGCACTTAATCAGTTGGCAATCAGTTTCCGCAGGTACGGCATGTGCTTTGCCCCCTCCAAGTGCAAGGTACTCCTACAAGACTGGCAGGATTCTAATCCTGTACTCACCCTGGATGGTGAGCAGATCGAATAGTTGAGAAGTTCGTGTATCTAGGTAGCTATATAAGTGCTGGTGGTGGCGTGAGTGATGAGATTGATGCACGTATAATGAAAGCCAGAGCGGCCTGTGCCAATCTGGGCCATCTTTGGCGCTTTCGTGATGTTAGTCTGGCTGTAATAGGTCGGATCTACAACGCGTCGGTGAGAGCAGTTTTGCTCTATGCTTGTGAAACCTGGCCTCTCCGAGTTGAGGATGTTAGACGACTCTGTGTTCGATCATCGTTGTCTCCGAAGGATTGCTGACATACAGTGGCAACACCATGTTAGTAATGCAAAGGTTCGGCATCGTGTGTTCGGGCACAGAGACGATAATTCAATTGGTGTCACCATCTTGAAACACCGACTTCGGTGGCTTGGACATGTTTTACGAATGTCGTCCAGGAGACTTCCACGTCGTGCATTATTTGCCGACCCTGGGACTGGTTGGAAAAAGCGGAGAGGAGGTCAGTGTATGACATGGTGTCGTGGCATGAAAGAAAGCTACAAAGGGCTAGCTTCTGTTGGTCCTTCACGACTCCCTGGCTGGGGTCCGAGAGATGGTGTAACACAGTGGCTAGAGACGTTATCAGATATGGCTCAGAATAGAAGCCAGTGGCGATCCTGCTGCAACCTTATTTTACTTTCTACATAAAGAATGTTTTTAACTTTCTTAACTGAAAGAGTCTTCTGGTTGTACATTTCAGTCCGCCTTATCTTTTCATCCCTTCTCTTCCTACTTTCATTATTTTGTGTGGCGCATATGTACCTGGTGCCCTTTTGTACCAATATATATATATATATATATATATATATATATATATATATATATATATATATATATATATGTTTAAATAAATAAATAAATAAATAAATAGATAAATAAATAAGACGACAAGTACCAAATACAAAAACAAGAGCCTCGTGGATTTTACTGTTATCCGTAATTTAAGGTAATTAAGATATAATAAACACCGGAAGTTTGTTTGAAAACTCTCTTATAGATACATGTCTTATTCACAAAATCAAATCTATCTAAATTTCGTATAAATAAATCTGTTTACATTAAATATAAATAAGTATATACATTCTTGAATGCAATGATTATTTCTATTGAAGAATGATAATATATTAAGCAAAATTAACATATTTGACCGACTAACATGATATATTAAAAATTGATGGGTTAATTCATACTACCATATTTAAAAATTTTATTTGTTTTTCAAATATGGACCATAAAGTTTCGACTACAGATCTGACAGTGTTTTGCACCTAAGAACGTAGAGACCAAACACCAAATCTATGATTTGTACGAGTTTGGTATGGCCTAACGATATACAGGATGACAGTACTCTAAATAATTTATAAGGCACGTACGCAACAACTAATTAGAGTACAGATACCTTCATAAGGAATGGTCTTAGAAAATAGAGAAAAGTAACATCGAAAGGTGACCAAACAAAAGAAAAAAGGTTATCGAAAAGAACATGAATTCGGAAGGCAAGGAGCAACTTTAACTTGCAAAAGTAAGTAATTAAAGTATAAAACCAAAGAAAAACATAAATTACTGAGTATTCTTAGAAACGTCTTATCTCGTATGTGGTTGTTGATGCACGTTGTATATGAGACTTAATTTAGGACAAACTGAGTATTTAACACTCTCCAATTGATGTCACTTCGTGATGAAAGCCACACTCAAGATCAGACAAAAAAATATCTACAAGACTACTTACTTCCATTATGAAGATGTGGAACAAAATAGGGAAACAAACATGATGACAAATAATAATAGTTATTAGATGAAAATGTGAAATAGGTCGTTGCACGAATTTATTTCATTTATTTATTTAAACACATAAATACTGGTACAAAGAAGCACCAGATAAATATGCGCCTCACAAATCTCATTCGATTTGTGTGAGGGCTGTGATACTGCCCAAGTGCCCAGACTGAAGCAGGTGGTTTTCATAGGGGGCCACACCCGGAGCCTTTAACCTAAAGGTCTAGTCCACAAGGCGGTGGAGCATCGTAAGGAGATGCAGTCCCATGGTAGCCGGTGACCAACAGTTGGTTCATACGCCATTCGTTCCTTCAGGATACTGGAGCCCATGTGCACCATTGGTTTGGAATCAGGGTTTTCCAACTCCCCTAGGTGGACTCGCCTTGTCCACCAACCCGGTTAAAGCGCCGGACATTCGCTTTTCGTCCTCTCAATTTCGTAAGCAACACCCCCGCCACGAGAAAGCAGTGAGTAGGACTTCCCTGGCAGAGGCTATATAATCGCTGGCCATGTGAGTGCATTTCGAGAGGGAGAGTGGACTGTCCCCACTCTCCGCCATACCAGGGCATTTGGGGACCGAAAGGATAATCAAAAATAAAATTATTTTTGTCATTGACTTTTTTGATCTATCTATGTTGCATGTTTATTATGGAAGACAGAAAAAGTTGTTTGGAATTAATCCATTAACCAATCACCAGAATATATTCACTAATCTCTTCCCCCTTTACAAGTCCTTCCTTCTAATCACTAGCTGATATCTGTACATTGTTTCCTCCCCGACCGTTGCTGCTACCTTGACGTGGTGGTCGGGCTTGCCTATCGTGATGATCCAATCGAGCTATGCTGGCTGGAACAATCGTTCCTTAAGGTCCTATCATGCCAGACAGGTCGGTTGAAGAGCGGTGAAACTAAAAGCAGCAATCCCAAGGTCCGAAGGCGAAGTTGTACTGCCGACTGTACAGAGGTGTGACGGCAGTAAGGTGTTTCCTTCAGACAACCAGCATGACAGCGATGCTGCCTTCCCACAAGGAGGGGTGGGGTTAGGAAAGGTCGACCCTAAAAATGCACACCTCGCCTTATTCCACGGATTTCCGTCTCCGGCGGTAAGGTCCTTTGAAGAACGGAGCTAACACGTCAAAAATCCCCCACAAAAAGGCCGTGTGTGACCGGCCTCAAGCAGATGTCCCTTGGGCACTGCGGTCACGCTCCCAGGTCGTTATGACCAACACTAATCCAACTTCTTTTTCAGGTCCCTCAAGAAATACCCTTCCACGGTGTGGGCAGCCGGGAAGTGATACTAGCCCTCATACCCTTAACTGCACACAAGACCAAGTTGGTCGCTTTCAAATCCTTCCTACACCTAATAACTCTGTTATCTCCTCGACTAACCCTTCCCACGTCCTTTTATCACCTCGCACCGCTAGGGCAAACGATTTGAGTACACAGAACGTTATTCCTGGTCTCCTGAAACCACACTCTAAACTACATATAGGAACTTTTAATGTCCGAACATTGTGCCAAATAGGACAACAGGCTTCCTTAGCTAGGACTCTAGAATCTTACACCATCGATGTGTGCTGCGTCTCCGAAACGCGCATACAAGATCCGAGTAGTGTCATTCATTTGACCGCACCTAATCAAAATAAAGTTTCATCTCGATACACGCTCCGTGTATCTGGAAGCCCTGACGCTGCTTCCCGTGGCCTCGCTGGAGTAGGTATAGCATTAAGCCCTAGGGCAGAACTAGCTCTTTTAGACTAGATCCCAGTAGACAGTCGTCTATGCGCTGTCCGACTAAACGGATCAGTAAGGACCCGGAAAGATAGGGAAACTCGTCGTTGCCTCTTCGTCGTCTCTGCCTACTCTCCCACTGACTGCAGCTCAGACGATATAAAAGATGAGTTCTACAGGAAACTTTCTGACCTTCTCCGAAAAGCTAGGCGTTCTGATGTAGTAACAGTAGCAGGTGACTTTAATGCTCAAGTAGGTAAACTAAGTGAAAGACACCTGGGTGGATCTTATGGTGTCATGGCGAAAAGAACAGATAATGGCGACCGTCTGTTGCATCTATGCTCAGATAACCGCCTATTTCTTGCAAATACTAACTTTAAGCATAAGGAAAAACATCTTTTGACCTGGCGACCCCCGAATTCGTCCCAACGTTGGACCCAATTAGATCACATCGCTATCAGCCACCGATGGAGGGGCTCGATAGAAGACTGTCGCTCATTCTGGGGCACATGCTTAGATTCAGATCATGCTCTAGTGCGAGCACGTATCTGTCTGCGTCTTACTGGACGTAGGAAAGACACTGCAGGGAAGCCTCTAAGGGTTCTACTTAATGATAGGCAAGCTAAGAATATATTTCAGGAACAACTAGAAAAACAGTTAGGCAGCCATGTAAGTTGTGTCCACCCCGAGGCAGCGTGGAATGACATCCGAAAAGCTGTGGAAACAGCAGTGATATCCGCTAGTAAGGTAAACCATAACGTTAGGGAGAAACAATGGATCTCGGCAGCATCTACCGCACTGATAGATGCTCGTAAACTCATCCCACTTGGCTCTGAGCATAACGAAGAGCGGAGTCAACTTAAGCGCAGGCCTATAAGAAGTCTACGTAATGATCGTGAACAGTGGTGGGTAGCGAAAGCAAGAGAGATGGAAAAGGCAGCGGCAATAGGTAACAGTAGGCAGCTATTCAGACTCGTTAAAGAAACCGGTATTAGGAACCCGAATATCAGTGAAACCATCTCAGATAAAGATGGGCATATTATTCATTCTCAATCCAGGAGGTTGGATCGATGGGCAGAACACTTTAGGGATCAGTCCAACTGGCCTTCAGCCACACTTCAATTACCCACGATCCCCAGTCGTCCTGAATGGAAAATTGATGTAAGTCCTCCAACCCTCTGTGAGGTTGAAAAAGCTATAGGAAATCTGAAGCGAGGGAGAGCAGCAGGCCCTGACAGGTTTACCCCTGAGATTTTTAAGGATGGTGGTCCAGTACTAGCAGTGAGATTGACTGAGGTCTTAGGTAGAATCTGGGAACTGGACGTAATTCCATCTGACTGGTCCCAATCACTGATTGTGCCAGTCTATAAGAAAAAACAAAAGTCCTCCTGTGACAATCACAGAGGGATCAGTTTGACTAATATAGTGTCTAAAATATTAGCTTCAATAATACTAGGTCGCCTAACCAAAGCTCGTGAAGAGCAGACTAGAGAAAACCAGGCTGGTTTTCGACCTGGACGTGGTTGCATAGACCAGATATTCACCCTACGTCAGGTTCTAGAACATAGACACAAATTCAGACGTCCCACAATAGTAGTATTTCTTGACCTTAAGGCGGCATTTGACTCCGTTGATCGTGAGGTTCTATGGCAATGTTTGTCACTGAAAGGAGTACCAAAGAAGTACATTAACCTCATAAAGGCTCTCTACTCGAACACAACTGGTCGAGTTAGAGCCTATGGCGAACTGTCATCAGAACTGATTACCACAAGTGGCGTTCGTCAGGGCTGTCCACTCTCCCCATTCTTGTTTAACTTTGTCATTGACATACTTTTAGAGATAGCACTTTCATCAGCTAAACCTCCAGGAGTTGAACTTTTACCAGGAGGCTCACTTGTTGACTTAGAATACGCCGACGATATAGTTTTACTCGGTGAAGACGCTGACAACATGCAGAGTCTTCTGACCACTATAAGCAACTATGCAGGCATGTTCGGAATGCGATTCTCTCCCTCGAAGTGCAAAATGTTACTTCAGGATTGGGTTGCATCGACACCTGAACTAATGATAGGGAGTGAAGTAGTTGAGCGTGTAGACCACTTCACTTATCTTGGGAGTCTCATCAGCCCTTGTGGTCTGGTATGTGACGAAATCTCAGCACGGATACAGAAGGCTCGTCTAGCTTTCGCCAACTTGCGTCATTTATGGCGTAGGCGAGATATCCGTCTAGTAATCAAAGGATGGGTTTACTGTGCAGCAGTTCGCTCCGTCCTACTCTATGGCAGTGAAGCATGGCCAATAAGAGTAGAGGATATTCGTAGGCTACTAGTGTTCGATCATAGGTGTCTTCGAAGCATTGCTCGTATATCCTGGGACCACCGGGTAAGTAATGCAGTTGTTAGGAAACAAGTACTAGGTAGGGATGGCAAATCGATTGATGAAGTAGTGAAACTTCATCAGTTCAGATGGCTGGGACATGTGTTACGTATGCCCGACCACCGACTGCCCCGACGTGCAATGTTTCATGGTGTAGGAGTAGGTTGGAAGAAAGCTAGGGGTGGCCAGACCAAAACGTGGCACAAATCAATGAAGTCACTGACAAGTGGACTGGGCCATGTTGGTAGGTGTAGACTACCTTGTTGGGATTCGCGAAATGACAGCAACCGATGGTTAGAGACCTTGAATGACATGGCTCAAAATCGTTTGCAATAGCGAAGATGCATCCAGTCTTTGTGTTCTACCAAATTCTAATCTTTTGAATTCCTCATGTCTTTATCTTTTTTCTCTTTCCAAATTTATTTCACTGTACTATACTCCTTCAATAATTTCTTCAAACCCTAATCTTTTGGATTTCTGATTATACTCCTACTACTTCTACCACTATGGGATTTGAATCGACAACTGCATCTCTGTGCGAATGTGGTATGGCAACTCGAACTGATGTACGTACGTACGAAGTTCTACGTTGTGACTGACTGACTGACTGACATTGTTTCCTTGCAATTAGTCAGAAGTCACTAAACAGTCATCGTTTGTATAGTCATTGCTAAACTAACTCCATCTCTTGACATTTTTGTTACTAAATCCAATGAATAATCTGACTCGTATAAAAACTTAAATACAGTGTGCAGTTATCAAATTGACGCGTTTTGATGTAAAATATTGAATAAAACAAACAACAAGTGCCTACTTGTCGCTCAATAATTGATGGACTAGCATGGGGTCGTGGAATAGCTCCAATATGGTTAACTGGTGAAGATACCCGAGTTATAGTGGTAGGTGATGTTGAAGATGTATTATTAGATTTTGGCACTGGGTCGACCACAATAGTAGACTGAGGATCCAGTAGCCGTTCAGCGAGAGTAGCCTTTCATAAAATGGAAAGAATTTATTATACATTGTTAAAAGCAAATAAAATATCGCAATGGAGCATAGGGAACTACAACTATTAAAATCGTGAATTAATAGATAGACGGTTTGACTGACGTCATAGACAAATCACTCATTCTCATTCAAAAGCAATAATTGCTGTTCGTAACCAAGTTAATACACAGTCATATGCTTTATCAAAGTAATTTCTAGTCGTATTCCTACTTTTTAATGTAACATAAAGTACACGACATTGAAATATAAACTGGTTGGAATCGGTGAATTCTAACATATGTAGCCCAAATTAATGAACAATGGTGTAAACAAATTCATACTTTACATTCCTAAAGAGACTTCATGTATTTCTCTGTCTTCTATTTTTCTCTCGGTATTATCATTTCTAAGTCTCTTATTTTCTTTCTTAATATGCTAAATGAAACAGTATTGAACTAAATGCAATGGCAACCAAGACAGAGCCACAAAGGACTGGACCTTAGACCACCGGTCTCGTGCATTAATGCTTAGCCTTACTTGTACGTTGTGTTCTAGATTACTACCTAAAAACCATTTACTATGTTGCCCCATTCAAACAACTGAACAATAAATCCATTAAAAAACGTGTTTACAGTCTGATGTTAGATGGTTGGAGGCAATCAACAAAAATTCGTAAAACTGAGTTTCATGTTGTTGGTTAACACTTATAAGGGTAAAAAGGGAAATCAGGGAGAATTAATACTTCCACAGAGACGTGACTCCCCGTTAACTAGTTTTGCAGTCAGAAACATTACCGTGACTGAGCTATTCGGGTTGACTGACTTCCTGTGGGATTAAGATATTTTTACTAAATTACATATAAGGTTTATAGGCGGAATCTCCATTAGGATGATAGTATCAACATAGAAGCATCTATTTGGGATTTTGGATAAAGGATCCAAATTGGAAAAATATTAGCAGCAAGGATATTTCACTACGACATGCTTTTACGTATATGACTTGTATACAGGATTTTAAGCATCAATGTAAAATCACAAAATTGTCGACTAACTCCAAACTAATCTGAAACCAAGTATTCATAAGTTGATAAGTATTCCCTATATATTAATTCACTACAGGTAATTTTTTGCCAAACAAGATATTCTGATTAATCCATGCACATTTCATTTACGGACACCTAGCTGTCCCACAATATTGTCATTTCGATTTGTGCTGAACATTTTGGTATGTCAAGAAATAAAACAAAGTTATATGATAAAAATTGCAGTTGATGTGAGGACAAATACAATATTCATTCGAGTTACGAAATACAACTCACTAAATCTTTCTGAATTGTCTTGTTTTTTCTACCTTTGGTGTGCAGTACTTACGCTTAGCAGTACTTGGGTAAAATCAACGTATTGAGTAAAGAAAATGTGAAATTGTAATCTTCAGACCACTCAACTAGAAACCTATGATAGTTTTGAATATGAAGTTTACAGTGGAGAAAGTGAACATAAACGGACTTCTTTACAATGGATACCAAGAGGAAAGTATTAATAGTTACTGATCGCTTGGATGTTAAGAATGGAACCAGGAAACCGTCACTACTCAAAATTTTCCGCAGCTCTTAACAGTAATTCATTGTCTTCATGAATACCAATTATTGGGCTTATTTCCTACTTGGCATAAATGTCGCAACCAAAAAGACACATTGGAATATTTCCAGTGTTCGACAGTAAGTCGAAAATTAAATAATATAGGGGAAGTAAACTAAAAAATAGGATTATAATTCCGTTACTTTAAAGTAAGTTTCATTGACATACCGGACGAAACGATCCAACACGAGCGAAAGTTGGACGATCATCTGAAGCCTCTAACTGAAGAGCATCTCGTTCACGTCTTTGTTTCTTCTCCAAACATATAGCAAAAGCACACCCGACAGCATGAGATAACCGTTCACCCTGTATTCAGGCAGGAATTAGAAAATTTGAGTAAATTCTTTTAAGTTGAGCTTTAGCAGAAATTTAATCGAGGAAAGTGTATCAATAGTCATTAGGTTATACCATAAAACATTTCATTCTAATCAGCACTTACAAATAACGTGTGTTACCGACAAAATCGATTATTATTTTTTGATATCAGTCAATCAGTCAACTACAACGTAGGACCAGGCACATTTATGCATCGGTCCGAGTTGTCATACCTCGTTAGCACAACAAGATGAACACCGGATTCATAGAAATAGTTAATTTAGTGGTGGTATTATGTAAAAGATAAGTTGTATATAATATATAGTATAGCAAGAAAGACAGATATGAAGCTATTTTAATCTCAAGGTTTAACAGAAGATAAAGAGTGTATACACATACGCCACGGTGATCGATTCTGAGCCATGTCACCTAGAGTCTCCAACCATTGATTACGATAGTCACGTGGACCCCAACCAGGTAGTCTGCATCTGCCAACTGGAAGTCTGCACCTCACGACCCGGATCAATACGACTGGAAATATCACACAAACTGATAACATGCATTGGTCTGGTAAGCCACAGTCTTATTTCAAATGACTTTTATTCTACCCACCACTGCTCATCGTGGTTGCCAGTTGCTAGGCGTAACATGATCTAAAGATGAGAAAATCATTATTGATTTTAACAACTGATAACGATGATATGGTGCGATCTCGATAGTAGTGGCACAGTTGCATCCATCCTTTATTTTCATCTAAATATGAAGTGATATTTTAAACTTTCCATTGCTTGATTTCACCTGTTCATTTGTTACTGCATCTCTTACATTAAGACAGTAAATACAGTTTAGATCACTTTATTTTTTGATGCTCTTCTTAAAAACTTCCTTGGTCGTTGCACTGATGTAACTTGAACAAATGCACATTTGTTCCAAGTCCTATAGTGATGATGACCAATGGAACGGCAAATTGTCTATTGAGATTACTCGTTTTCAGGTACTTCAAGAAAGAGTATCCTTCCACGATGTAACCAAAATGTGACAAGCACCCTCACACCTTTAGAATCACTATCTGACTGTGATAGTCGATTAGGCAAATTTAAATCTCAAGAGGTATACCAGTTTGCTAAAGATAGTGGAAACGTCGCCTTGATGAGTTCCGACTGGAGTGAAACCAGAGTTTAGGTTTTATTCCCAAATGTCTCAAACTACACAATACCAAATAGAGTACTTTATCAAAATAGTAAGCTTTCAGGATGACTACCACTTCATCAATACGGAAAAGCTATGTTAAAATATGACAATCGCAACAAGTGAAAAACTGGTCATATAAATATGAAGCGTTATCAACTCATAAAAGTACGTTTAAATGTTACGCATCCACAAAAAAGTCTAACCAGAAACAGCACGATCATGGTGCTCTTGCTAGGGATTTGAAAGTGACCAACTTGGTCTCGTGTGCAGTTATGGGTATGAGAGCTAATATCAATTCCCAGTTGCCCACACCGTGGAAGGGTATTTCTTGAGGGACCTGAAAAGGAAGTTGGATTAGTGTTGGTCATAACGACCTGGGAGCGTGACCGCAGTGCCCAAGGGACAACTACTTGAGGCCGGTCACAAACGGCCTTTTTGTGGGGGATTTTTGACGTGTTAGCTCCGTTCTTCAAAGGACCTTACCGCCGGAGACGGAAATCCGTGGAATAAGGCGAGGTGTGCATTTTTAGGGTCGACCTTTCCTAACCCCACCCCTCCTTGTGGGAAGGCAGCATCGCTGTCATGCTGGTTGTCTGAAGGAAACACCTTACTGCCGTCACACCTCTGTACAGTCGGCAGTACAACTTCGCCTTCGGACCTTGGGATTGCTGCTTTTAGTTTCACCGCTCTTCAACCGACCTGTCTGGCATGATAGGACCTTAAGGAACGATTGTTCCAGCCAGCATAGCTCGATTGGATCATCACGATAGGCAAGCCCGACCACCACGTCAAGGTAGCAGCAACGGTGCTCTTGTTACTCACCGTATCATATTTTATAAAGGCACCTACATACCATCATAACAATAAAAGTAAATTTACTACATGCTCAAAAGCTTACGGATTCCTTGACGGCGAGAAAGGCGTGACACATCCAACGGCGGGTAGCTCCATCACGACATATATATGCAAATCCCTTCTCGTGATTTCTATCAGGAGCACAAAATGAAACTTTCTCAATTGTCTGATCGACGATGAGATGCTAAAACTGAAATAAATACATGAAATTCCAAAGCACCTGACTAACGTCATCTGAAACGCGTAGAGCGTCACCGCTGACAGACAAAACAGCTTTTTGCGGTTTCTTCGAAATATCATTGTTATTTAAATAAAATATAACAAACCTTTGATTTTCTTAGAGCCTTAATCGCTTCTTCACAAACTTGCATTCCTCTTGATTCGTAAACCTCAATATTCCCTAAATACTAAAATAACATGTAACATATGGTATTCCAAACAAACCTTAACTTGAAAACTACAGAATCCCTCCTTGATTTTCACCTCATCATCTAGCCATTGTTGTGGTTTCGAAGAATCACCAGCCTCATTCTTATTCTGCTTTTTCCGTTTCCGAAAGCTGAATGTTCTTCTCAAACGATTCATCTTTAACTACTTAAGTTGATGTAATTTAATCACGTCAATGTAAGCCATTTAGTTTAGAAAACAATCTAAAGTGAATATTTGAGGGATAAGAAATAAAAATAAGGTTTTGATTATTTTAATGTAATGTTTTAAAGAAAAATTACCGTAATATTTTGAATCCTAAAACTTTTTAACTACTCATGGGACACATTGATCGTGTAAACGTTTTCTGGTGACATTAGATGTATGAAATCATATGAAAATAATGGAAAAACGCTGGTTGAGCATTAGAGGTCAAAACTCAATGAGACGAAAATTAATTGAGATACAACTGCGCTTGTTGTTTATTCGTGTGTTCTCAGTGGGATTAGCCTTTATTATCTCGTAAACCTACTAGATAGTTACAGAATAGAAATGCGAAATTTATAGGCAGGTAAACAACATAGAAGTTACGGACAATTTACCCCAAGTAGCTCAGGACCTAATTGAACAAAAGATGTAATGGACCGAAATCAATTCTTTCACAAATAAGCGTCAGATGAAGTTTCTCTGGGGCAATCTTCATGTCAGTGCTATTTTTCACTGCATATAAACCATCTACTAAACATCTTGGCAACATGAGCTGTTATATTCATAGATGTCAAAATAAGGAAAGTTTCAACCAGTTAATTTTCGCCAGCGTATAACCTGAGACGTATACATACTGGTCCAATTTACCACAAAGTAGGACGATACCAAACAATTCCACAATCTATACATGACAAAAATGTTACCAAATTAGGGCCTCATACAAAAGTGACAATCTTGTGAATAGGTGATGCTAGGGTTGTAAAACCAATAAATGAACAAGGACAGTACATAATAAGAGATGCAGCTCCATCAAAAATACGATTTAGAAACATCCTTTCAGTTAAAGGAGTATCCATAATCTTATAGGATCCAAAGGAAAACTAGTCCATGACTGACACTACCTTTTATTTAGAGCCAATTATTTTAACTTCTCAAACCACTGAACTACACAAACTTGAAGACCTACCTGGAGACTGGTGATAGAATGGCAGATGCGTCATATATGGCTAACTTCTATAAAACGCCATTATCACGAAACAACCACCACACTGCTGTTCTACCCAGTCCAAGCTTCCGTGAGTAATCTCTTGAGTGGAGCCCGATTACATGGTGTTTGAGAAAGATGACCAAGTTACTGAAGCTGGCGTTGTTGATGTTGACGCCAAATTAATTATCGTCACTGAGATCAAACATATATTGCCAGGTTTCGGCACTACAATGTTCCCGGAGGACTTCAGGAGTCCCTAGAAAGAGATGGTCGAACACATTCCCCGGACATACTCAACCCAGAGGGCTCATGTTTCAAAGGCGTAGACCGAAAGTGTTCTCAGTATCTCGCATACTCGTGTAAACCTAGTTTCTAGGTAACATCCACAACGCCACGCCCTAAACACTATACCGCTTCTGTCGTGCATCCTAGTTAAATCTACGGGACTTTCATATTTACTGACCGTTTTACCGGACACTGATACAAAACCACTACCAAACCTCAATATTTGAGTGTTAATTAGAAACAATGGTCTAGAATTATACGAAATTTTCATGGTAAGATAACCTGGATCTACTTATCGAAACTCCATACCCTGGGAATGCTGTGACAAAACTAGCGCTTTAACTATGACCTTGTGGAGATAGGACCATAAAACCTATTTTGTAAATAATTTTTCATAGTTTACGCATGTATTTTCATATTCTGTACATTTAGCATTAAACAATTGTACTTGTTGTTTAAGTGTATTACTTTGAAAACACTTGTAACTTGACTTCCTTCCGTTTTGAGTACAACATATCGTGGCACTGTTACTGCTCCTCATTAAATACACTCTAATTCACATCTGCATCGTTCTGCTATATCTGCTAATATGTTAAATGAAATATTAATTGCACACCATCTACGTTTATAGACAATTGTGACATTCTTATTGAATTCTACGCTTGGTAAACCTACTGGATCTATATCGTTCATATTGAGATTACTAATCTTTTATAATTGTGGATTATTTGGACCAAACTCAGCCGAACACGCAATAGCCTGAAGACTTAAGTAATGTCCCTTATTTTTTATTTGTGTGTGATTAACTTATTAACTGTTAATTGTTACATAAACTTTAGACATAATATTTTTGTTGCTAATTTTGGTTATCATACATTTTGGTCCACCACAACCTTCAAGCAGAACGACAGACTCCAGACTTCGTTTTGCAGAAAGAACACTTTTGTTCACGATGATGAAAAGCTTATTGTTCTGTTCCCTGTGGACCAAAGGGGCAAAATGTTCAGTAAATAGTGGGAAGAATCAGTGAAGAGTTACAACAGGGGTTATCGTTCGGAAACACATCAACTTCTACTGTCAGACTGTCTTTATTTTATGCCTGTATCACCAACAATTATTATCGATTGCTTTCTTTATTACATTTTGGTCGATTCTGTGTGCTTACTTGCAATCACCCCCCCCCCTATTTTTACATGCTTCCTTTCACATTCCCCCTACATACAACGCACCTGCAGGCTAGATGTCAAGCTGTAGTGTAGTGCTTTGTTAATCGATCGTCTCGATAACCGTTATTATATCAATCTGAACGGTGTATAATATCAGGAGACAAAGGGATGTGGCAACTACATTTTTATTGACAAATAACATAGGCTAGAAGGCAGTAAGCACATGAGTAAATGTTAGCGAGCGAAGAAAAAGTAACATACATGGGAGATGGCTGATAAGCCAACTCGTTATAAGCAAGCATTAATCAACATTTATAGTCAGACTAAAATGAATGACAGACATGTGATAGGTAGGATAAGAAGTGTGCATACACATACGCTCATATAAAAAAGTAGTCAAGGTCAATAAGGGAATAATTAACAAGATCAAAATGTGACTCATAACGTTATGGGTGAATTGACTTGTCCAGAAACTAGAATAAGCTATGTAGGTGTAATATAGTACACGACGTTACACTACACCCCACAAAGCTTTTGAAAAATGAAATATTTAGCAGATCCCACTTCCGTCGCCCACTGAATGAAACTCTATGATTTATTGAGTAGATGGTGTCTCAAGAACCCACTAATGACTTTCTACGAATTTTAAGGTTGTAAAGATAAGGAAAAACACTCCGTGACTTGAAACCAATGCACTGCCATCCTTCTAGTAAATATTTGTAACTGCCACCATTTCCCAGCTTGTGGTTTGTACTTATCAAAAGAAGACCTGAAAGGAGTAGGGAATGGGGGCGAAGTCAATGTTTGGATTTGTAGATGTAAGTAAATCCCTGAAATCAATATCTTGGTAAGTCTTCGGTATTTGATGTTGACCACATCAGTTTCAATGGACTCACCCAGCTTAAGGCGCTCGGTCAATCATCCTCACCAGATCACGAGCGGTAAAGCCGTGCTCAACTTGTCCTACAACCGATAGCCAGCTTAGATCAGTTACTTCTCCATATATTCATAGCCTATCAAATGTATCTTCGAACCTTTTCGCTTCTGACACCTTATTTCATTGGTTGGGCATGTTTCGATTGTAGATGTTAGTAGTTAAGGTGTTGTCAAACTCCAAATACTTGAGTTGAATTTCATCCAAGAAAGAGGATTGGTATTGTTTCAAGTGTCCAAGATTTCTCTGGTTTTGAAAGGTTCGAACTTCAGAACTCCTAGTTCATTGAGAAAAAGCCGAAGTAACCATCAGCGGCAGAGCTATGTGTCCATTATATTGATGACGGTTTAGTTTAGGCCTGTCTGATTGGAAGCATGTCTGCACCTCAATCTTTGTCTATCCTCCCACTAGTTGTAAACACAGGCAATCAATAACTATCCACCATTAATTAACACTCAAAAAATACATATTGATATTTAGACTTCTTACCGATATACACCCTACCTGCTCCACCTCTTGTGTGTTTATAGATATTGTTAGTGATCAACAATGCACTCTTTTAACAACAGGTGTTCTGACTTTTGAATATTCTTGAGTACATTCATAGAACCACTAGAAGAATTGGTCTGCTAAAATACCCAGTTAACGGAATATCATATATTGGAGTCAAACGGTGTTGAATTAACTCATATAATCTACACTATATCCTTTCCTTATAACAGTTGTGACAGCAGGTAAACCCCAAAAATAATCGGCTCTGTAAACCCTCGACACTGATTTTGACCACGTTATTCTTACTGGAGGCAACCCTAACTGACATCGCTCTTTCAATCGTCAGCATCATGTTGCGTTGTGTGCTATGCTGAGTATTTCGTATGATGGTTATTCAGCTTAAGTTCCATACACTTTGGCACGTTGACTCTTGATCCAAATAAACGAACATATCTCATTAACCCTAGCGCTTGATTTTATTGGTTTGGGCATCATAGCGTAAGAAAAAAATTCAAACGATTTGGTTACAGAATTTCGTGTATCCGTGACATCACTGATTAGCCGTAACCTGATCTGGTACGCCGAACTATGTATCGTGAGCTTGTTGACTGTTGTAATGTTTCCTATCTTATCCATGTTGTAAATTGCTCTTAATATCTACATATTTTTCCTCACTTTGTCTGAATACACACAGCAGGCTATATGAATTAAAATTTTCTCGTCCCTCATACTACAACTTATATTATTCTGGCTTGATAACATGAAAGCCTGATTCGGCTGTACAGGAACTAACTACCTGTATCACGACCGGAGTGATCAACGTCCGCAGTTTATTGCAGTAAACAGTGCACTACCGTGAAAGTTAAACATATATTAATCTAGTATGTTTACTGATAGTATTCCAGAATCCTATGAAATCCCAAAATAGATTGCGCATAAACCCGAAGACTCAACCTACTGACAAAGATTAGATGAACTCTTTCACATCACCAAGCAAAAGAAAATTTGTTTTCATTTAGATAATAAAAACGCAAATTTCGGCAAAATATATCTTGTCAGTGAATTTATTATCAAACTGTACAATCGTATATACGTGTTTAAATTTTTTTAAGTATTATTTCTGTCAGGACATGTGAACAAATCCTAAACACAATGATGTAATAGAATGAATGTAACACTAGATGACGTGGCGTAAACAGTAACAATAAAATATCGTATGCGTACAAATTAAGAGTCTTGTCAAAGCAATAAGTTGGCGACGGATTATAATGCGAATAAAGTAAAATAAATGGAATTTTGTTGCGATGTAATTGAAAGAATGATCTGAACCTTCCCCCAAATTGCTTCATTCACTAGTATTGTTATTTTAGTGGTAATGGTTCCTAACCACATGATTTTTGAAGTCAAGCATATAATTACTGAAATGAACATTCAAAGTATAACACTTAGAAAAGGTCAAAATGATGAACGCAGGAATAATTGATCGGCATGGCGTGACTCGGCATTTGCAGACAGTGTCATTCTGTGTAACCAATATATAGAACCAGATTTAAGTTATGGGCACGACCAATATAAATAATCCAATTTTGTTAACGCTCAACGACAGATTCTATGATATAGTCCATTTGCATAACTTTCTTAGATCTTCTTGGATAACTCCTGAATTATGACTTTCATTGATAGAATGCGAGAACAAATAAAGCATTTTCAGGTCATCAGGAAAACAGAAATGTTTACTACATTGAGAAGTAGGGAAGCACGTCATAAATGCAAAAGAAAAGGAGAGACGGGCCGGTCACAATCTCCTGTATAAGGACGATGGCTATACTCATGGGCTTATAATTACGAAATCCATAAAGACCGATTTGCCTGAGTTCTGCTGAAAAGGACTTGAACAAGCATAAAGTTGGATCCTGAATGCCAAATTACTGTTGATTGACCAACGTATCTCCTCTGGGTGATCTGATCGAAAAAATCTAAGTTCTATGTAAAGCGAGAGTTTATTCATGAAACTTCATAGAGAAGGTCTGATCAGGCTTGCCGAAATTAAAAGTGATGAGTGCTAAGCGTAAAATATTTATTCCATGATTAATGAAAAAAGTAGGTTACATTGATGAGCTTATAGCAAAATCGCCATGTGATTCCGTTTTGAATTTAGGGGTTATAAACGAAGTTTTTCGTACAGGTGGATAGACTATATTTCGTACACAGGTTGAATAGCTTTCAGTGTAATAATAGAATTTCCCATTTATCACGATAAACAAATGATCTAGGAATACTATTGGCCCACCGTTATAGTATGTTTCCAAAGCAGATGTAGCCTTCTTGGGGTTGATAGATACGGAGTAAACTATGGATACATGTCTAGAAGTTGACCTTGTAAGTATTTCTATGATGTTTTGAATTCCTCATTCATTTGTTGAATTGTTCAGAAACAGTATCAGGGTGGTCTACAATACTGTCGTTAATTGCGAAATATGTGCCTGTATCAAAAAGTTTCGATTTTAGGCGGCGTCCGAACAAATTAATTAGGTCTGGGTCTGTCTCATTCAGAGCCCTATTAATCACAATCGAGAAGTACTCACATCGCACAAAATCCATTTTGTCAATTAAATGAGGTGTACTCTCGAGTACCCTCAAGCCGCAGTAATTATGATACATATGTTACAGTTTTTACAGTGTTCTCGTACTTTCAGAGAAAACAAATCTCAAAAAGAACCAGTAGTTCTGTAGTGGATGTCGAGTCGAAGACGGACTATGATCACCACTACAATTCGTTTACGCGCCCAAAAACGACTTGGTTCCTTTAATAGCTCGTAAATCAGAAAGCTTTATTAATCC